AGTGTGGTGCTGTGGGTTAATGCACTGGACTGCAAGGTCAATTTGAACTACAAGGTCAGCAGTTCAAGCTCACCAGCCACTCCTCTGAAACCTTACACATGGTCACTATGAGTCAGCACCAACTCAACGGCACTTAACAACAACAACAATGTGATAGAGTCCTGGTGTGGCACTGCAGGATAATGCACTGAACCGCAAGTTCAGTGGTTCAAACCACGAGCTGCTCCTCAGAAACTGACTTAATGGCACTTAACAACAACAATGTGATGGCTGGAACTGTAGTTGCCTTGGCACAGTCAGACCAAATGATTTTGAGGGCCTTATACAGTCTGCGGGCTGGACGTTCCCCACCCCTGCTCTAAATGAAAGGGTTGCTGGTGTACCAGGCAAAAACTGGGACTACGTCAGGCACGGCAGAATGAATTAGTATCATTCTGCTAAAATATCCAGTCCTGGCATGCCAGGCATTGCTCTAAGTGCTTTATGTTTTCAGTCATGGAATCATCACAGCCAATCGATTACTTCCTCCAGCTTTATAGATGAGGAGACGGCAGAGATTTGCCCAGGGAAAGTGGTGGACCTGAAACTCCAGAGCCATGTCCTCAGCCCCCATGCCATCCAGAGCCTGGGCACAGGTGTTTGGGGTTGAGCCTGTGTTCCACAACACAAGCCTCCTGACCTTTGGGCAGCTCCTGGATTTTCAATGTCTGTGTCTGTTAGGTGGGGACCACGTATTCGCCTCCTCCTGGGGCTGTTGGGAGGTGCGCAAGAAGCAGTGGGTGAGTCCTGTGAGCTTTAATGAGCTGAACTGAGGGCGAAACTGCAGCCCAAGGCCAGAGGGGCCCACCCCGATCTGTGATAACACTGAGGAGGAGCCCTGAGGTCTGAGTCAGTGGAAAGACTTCATGTGAAAGTCTTTTTTCTGTTTTTGAGGAAATCTCCTCTAACTTTCAAGAACAGTTTAATTGTGAAATTATAAATACAAATTAATTTTAAATTTTAATCGCCAAAATCATTCTTTGGTATGGAATAAAATATCATAATGCTTATTCTGAGCTTCCTGCATGCCAGCCACTGTGTAATAAGCCTATATGTATATTAACTCTTGCACTCCTAGCCACAGTGCTAGAAAGTAGACAGTGGGCATTATTTCCATTTGTTTTAAATTGGGCCCTAGTAGTGCAGTGGTTAAGTACTTGGCTGCTAACTGAAAGGCCACTCCGTAAGAGAAAGATGTGGCAGTCAGCTTCTGTGAAGATTACATGCTGCCTAGGAAACCCAACAAAGCCTTTCTAATCTGTCCTACTCTCTCTTATCGCTCTAAAAGTATTCTGGTTTGGAAGAAAATTACAAAGGGCCATCAAAAAGTTCATGGAAAATTGAGACAAAAAGATAATGGAATTTTTCCATGAACTTTTTGAAGTCCCTCCTATACAGCCATCATATACTAACTGCCTCTTGCTCTTTAATTTGTTGTTGTTGTTGTTGTTGTTTCCACTATACCACGCTGAGTCTCCAGGATATGAATATCAGGGCTTACAGCAACCATGAGGTCAAGGGGACATGCCACCACTGTGCCAATCCATCTCATTGGAGGTCTTCCTGTTTTTTCCTACCCTCCACTTAATCAAACATGATATCCTTCTCCAGTGATTGGTCCCTCCTGATAATATATACAGATTACACTCTGGGTGCCCAACAAGCAAACAACTACAACAACATTGCCATTGAACTGATTCTGACTCCTGGCAACCCCATGCGTTACAAAGTGGAACTGCTCCATAGGGTTTTCCTGGCTCAATATTGTGCAGGAGCATAACTGGGATCCTGGTGTGGTGCTGTAGGATAAGGTAGCAGTTCAAACCCACCAGCTGCTCCTCAGAAACCCTATACAGGATCGCTGTGAGTCAGAACCAACTCAAGAGTATTTAACAACAATGACAAATAAGCACAATTAAGTTTTCTGGAATTTCCGTTCTTCACAATCCAGAATTTGTTATGACCCACACAGAAAAAAAGTGTGTTTGCATAGTCAATAAGACACCGGTAAATCTTTCTGGTATTCTCTGCTTTCATCCAAGATCCGTCTGACATTCTGTGATAAACAGATAATACACCTTGGCTTGCTGAAAGCAAAGAAGATGTAATGAAGATCAAAGACTACAGCCATCAGTGTAGATTACACATCAAATAAAGAAAAAAAAGCTAAAATCCTGAAATTGGACCAATAAGCAACATCATGGTAAGCAGAAAAATTGAAGCTGTCAAGGATTTCATTTTACTTGGATCCACAATCAATGCCCATGGACGCAGCAGTCAAGACATAGAACAGCTTATACCACCAGACAAATCGACTGCAAAAGACCTCTCTGATGTATTCAAAAGCAAAGGTGTCACTTTCAGGGCTAAAGGACACCTGACTCAAGCCAGGGTATTTTCAATCTCTTCATAGGCATGGGGAAGTTGGACAAGGAATAAGGAAAACCAAAGACCACTTGATGCCTTTGAATTATGGTGTTGGTGAAGTATATTGACTATACCATAGCATGCCAGAAGAAGGAACACATCTGTCTTAGAAGTTGTTGTTAAGTACCTTCAAGTCAGTTCTGACCCATAAAGACCTTGTATAGGGTTTCTGAGAAGCACCTGGTGAGCATGAACCACCAACCTTATGGTTCAAACCGACTTTGCAGTTCAGTGCATTAACCCACAGCCCCACACCAGGACTCCATCTTGGAAGTTGTTGTTGTTGTTGTTGGGTACCATCGAGTCAGTACCAACTCACAGCAACCCTATATACAACAGAATGAAACACTGCCCAGTCCTAGGCCACCCTCACGGCCTGAGACCGTCACTGCCACCACTGTGCCAATCCATCTCATTGGAGGTCTTCCTGTTTTTTCCTACCCTCCACTTAACCAAACATGATATCCTTCTCCAGTGATTGGTCCCTCCTGATAATATATCCAAAGTATGAGAGAGAAAGTTGGGCCATCCTGGCTTCTAAGGAGCACTCAGGCTGTGCTTCTTCCAACACAGATTTGTTTGTTCTTTTGACAGCCCGTGGTACTTTTAATATTCTCCTCCAATATTGAAAGTATAACTTCTAATATATTTAGTGTATCTTAGAAGTAGTACAGCCAAAATGCTCCTTAGAATGAGGCTGGTGAGACCTCATCTTATGTACTTTGGACATATTATCAGGAGGCGCCATCCCTGGATAAGGACATCATTCTTGGTAAAGTACAGAGTCTGTGAAAAAGAGGAAGATCCTCAATGAGATGAAGGGACATGGTGGTTGCAAGTAATGGGCTCAAACAGCAGTGACAGTGAGGAAGGCACAGGATTGGACAGCGTTTGTACATGGACAGTCCTGGTGTGGTGCTGTAGGATAAGCACTCTATCATAAGGTCGATTTGAACCAAAAGGTTGGCGGTTCAAACTCACCAGCTGCTCCTCGGAAATCCTCTACAGGGTCCCTATGAGTCAAAACCAACTTAACAGTACTTCACGAAAACAAAATTTAAGGAAGCAGATAGGAGGCCTTTCTTCCTTGGTGCTCTGGATACATTCAAACCAACAACCTTTAGATTGTTTGTTGTTGTTGTTAAGTGCCATCGAGTCAGGTCCGACCCATAGCGACCCTGTACAGGGTTTCCGAGGGTCAGATTGTTAGTTGAGCACAAACAAACGCTTTACACCTCGTAGAGCTTTTTCCAAGTACCCAGCGCCCTGGATTCCTTGCCCAAATGGGCCTGTGTGGTTGCCTTCTCCAGGCCCACTCTCAAGGACAGACTGAACCCTGGAGTGCCCAGGCCTACTAGGCCTGAAAAATAGCCAAGGGCCAGCTCTCTGTGGGGATATACACACAGGCCAAGATGTTCACAAGCCAGTGAACAAGACCCCTAACAGAGTGGAACAGAGGCCGAAATTGGAAGGGGGAGGGGAATCACAGGTCAGACAGTGGGGGCCTGCCTCCTCCCCCTGAACCACCACCATACTCCACTGTGGAGTCCAAGAAGTCTGAGAATTCTACATGCAAAGCTGACCTTTCCGGTTTATTATGAAAGTGTAATTGTCAAGATAAGAGAATAGAGCATATTTTATTTCACATTTTGTTAGCTTGATTTATAACTTGCAAATATGTAGACATACGGTACGGGAGCCCCCATCTGTACTCCTGCCCAGTCCTCCAAATCCCTGCCCCTTTCTGTTCAGTCTCAGACCTGAGTGCTGAGCCCAGAGGGGCTCTTGGAGTGAAGGGTACCATCCCAGCACACACTACATGACCATATATTGTCCTCATTCTCCGAAACAATAAAGAGCACCCAGTCAAGGGTGAGGGCATGACCTTTGGCTCTGTTCCCAATCGCTGCCTTTGTCTGGCCCCTCCAGCTCTGGGAAGCTGTGGTATGATCCAGAACCAGACCCAAGTATGATCTGGGGAGGAGGAGAAGATACCTCTTATGGATACCATGATGTGGCATTGAGTTATCTGGACCAAGTAGACATAGTTCAGTGCAGCCCATTCCACTGCGATGCATTCATTCCACAAACCCCGGCTGCCCATCACACTATTACAGGGGCCCAGCTGAGAACCCAGAGACCAGCAAGATGCCCAATCGACAAGGTGTTGTTGTTGTTGTTGTTAAGTGCCTTTGAGTCGATTCCGACTCATAGAGACCCTGTACAGGGTTACCGAGGCTGTAAATCTTTACGGGAGCAGAAAGCCTCATCTTTCTCCCGCAGAAGAGCTGGTAGTTTCGAACTGCTGACCTTAACGTTCGCAGCCTGATTAGTAACCACTATGCTACCAGAACTCCTTAATCTGCAAGGTAGGAGAGGATAAATTAAACAAGCACGCAGAAAAATTCAAAATACCAACGTAGGACCTGGTGAGTATTCTAAAAAGAGACTTTCCCTAAGCTTTCATCGTCACAACCCCAGGTGCTATGTCCTTTTCTCAGGTAAGGACTCCCAGAGGTAAGGCTTAAGGCGCGCCCAGATCTTGTAGCTAGCCAGAGAGAGACTTCGGATTTCCTCAGTCTCCGGCCACTGTCCCGAACGGCCCTAAACTGGGGAGGCCCGTCTAGCTCCCGGAAGACTGGAGGGAGGTGAACGCCAGGGCGGGGCTGGCCAGTAGGACGCGCGGCCGGGCAGGCAGGGAGGAACGGCCTGCTGCCCTCGGCGCTGGAGTGCGCAGCCCAGGGCGCCTGAGCGCAAACGACTGGATGCGCGCAAGTGAGAGCCACGCTTGGGTTCGTCCGTCACTGAAGGGCCTGGGTCTGGGCTCCGCGGCGCCGACGGGGGCACGGGGGTAGGGACGGGAGGAAGGCGCTGTAGTGACCGCGGCAGCGGGCTGGGGGAGCTGTGCCCGCCTGTCCCCAGGACTCGGGAGGGGAGTCGGCAGCTGGGCCACCGCGCCTCTCGCCGATTCGGGCCAGGCGGAGCGCAGTCAGGCGTGCCTGGAGCGGACTCGGGCCCTTAGTCCTCCAGGTCTACCGGCCGGGGAGGCCCCCGAAGAAGCCCAGTCCCGCTGACTGGAGACGCCGCTGCCGCCGCGGCGCTGGCCCGCCCCCAGGGGGTGTCCCGGGCCGCTGGGCCCGCCCAGGTAACCCCATCCTCG